CGGAGGCGATGTCGAGGCTGCATTCCATTGCGCTCATGATGATAATACTTTTTGGGAAATCAAGGCAATGTGAAATGCAATGAAAACGTCATGTCTATTCATCTCATTGTGTGAAAACTCAACTACAATTCCTACTATCACCCTAAACGAAATAGGATGAATACACCTCATATATGATCTACTGGAATTCTCGAAAGCCAACTTATAAACAGAAAAAGATTATTCTTTCCTGCATAGGGTTGGCTAATAGACTATCAATGAATCGTATTTTGAGCAAAGATAGGTTTGCCTTCAAAGAATATCTTGGTTCATAATTGTTGAGCTTACATCTATTTCGATCAAAAGTGTTTGGTAAAGAGATTCGCAGGTCGATCCCATCAGGAGACGACGGCGGATTCCTCTTGACCAGCTGTCGATTGGCTTTACTGGAACATTCATGATGACGCTGCCTCCAAGGTAATCTCCTTCAATTCCAGTGAAAACTTGCAATGCTTTTGTCCGTCGTATGACGGACATCATCAAAGCATGGTATGACTATTACACCATATTAAAGCTAACGAGTCAACAAAACTGGTTTGCTTGGATATGTTGTAAGAGTGCTACCCTGCGCTAGTGATTTTCCTCATATGACGTACGAAAGCTTAGCACGTTTTCACCGAGATCGAAGGAGATTGCCTCGGAGATAATGTCAACAGGAATATTCCATTAAAGTTAGTCGACAGCTGGTCTTTTGCTGCAATCGACCTTCGAATCTATTCTCCAAAATCTCTGACCAGTAACAGAAGTAAGTTCAACAATCGTATTTTGGATAGAAGTAAGTAATTTTATGTACTGCCAGTATATTTCGAAAAAATGATGAATGACTAATAGTTGCATTTTCCCACAACTATATCAATAGGCCTAGCGTTTTCAAAGGTTATCCTCATTCTCGGTGGACTGCAGTTTCCACCTCGTCTGTATCTCATCAGCTTCCTGAACCGGAACCGAATTTGTGCAGTCCACCCTGGATTGCCATAACCTTTATGGAAGCTAGGCGACAGTAAGCTTAATGGGAAAGTAATGCCTACCGATGTGATTGTAAGGATATGCAACAATTAATAGTCCTTCACTACCTTATGTTACCTATAATGACTGGAACTCTTAGTCTACATTATCATCTTTATGCAGATCTATGCCGCCTACCCACTTTTGCTATTCACTTGGTTCAACTTCTCGTCTCTTCCTCCCTACAGCTCCATGCGGATTTGGGGCTCCGATCTTCGGTAGATCTGCTTTCAACACTCGGATCGCATTCGGGTCCACTTTTCGGCGAGTCCTCTTTTGGCGGCCAAATCGGAACTGGCAACACTCAAGGAGATAGTTTCGACGGGCCGGCGTCAACTGGGACGGCTGGGCTCTTGAAGGCTTGGCATGCTGAGTCAGGAGACTCAGAGGAAAGACGTGCCAAGCTCTGCTTTAATGCTGGCTCGCCTGGATTTGTCCTGAATCTTGACGACCGGCTCGCATCCCAATTTTTGGAGGGGCTTGAGCTCATCTTCTTTGCGGCCCAAAAAAGTGGAATTCTCCTCTTCATGTGTGTCCTTTTCCGCTATACCGAATTCTCTTTTAGCATATTCTTTTTGTTTATATGTAGCCTTTTGAGACTATCAGTAGATGATTTATTCGATGTGTATTCTCCCCAGTTTGTTTAAGGTGATACGTTGCATTTTCTCACAATGATATGAGTAGACCTTACGCTTCCATTTAATTTCACATAGCCTTGCCTTTCAAAAAGGTATTCTCATCACGGATGGGGTGGACTGTAGTTTCGACCTCACCTACTTATCAGCACCACCAACGAGACTCGAACCAAGACAAGGCTGCGTATAATCTCACCATATTATCCACTACGTCGATTAGGGCGTTGATCAGAATTAGGCGAAGTCTAAACTGCAATCAACCCCAGCCTGGATGATAATACCTTTTTTGAAGTAAAATTCATTGAAAGTGTAAGGACTACTCATATTATTGTGGGAAAATTCAACTGTCAGTCCGCTTATCACATTAAACGCTCTGATTTTGTCTGCATTGTGTCCAATTAGTTATTTTTAGTCGCGGCCATCAGGCCATTTTCGCGCGATTTTCGCATTATCTCTTAAGAGCCTATTGTCTTTTTTACCCAAAGTGAATTAAAGTGACTACTTAAGAACAATGAGATGTAGTCACCCTATTTCGTGTAAGGTGATGAAGGACTGGTAGTAGAATTTTCCCACAAT